GGGCCAGTCGTGGTGGGTCTGGATACAGTTGGGGTTGGGGACAGTTGGGTTGGGGACAGTCGTGGTGGGTCTGGATACAGTTGGGGACACTTGGGTGGCTCTTGACATGGTTGGGGTTGGGTTGGGGACAGTCGGGTGTCTCTAGGCGTGGTTGGGGTTGGGTTGGAGACAGTCGGGTGGCTCTAGGCGTGGTTGGGGACAGCTGGGTGGGTCCAGACGTGGCTGGGGACAGTGGGGTGCCCCTAGACAGGGTTGGGGACGGTTGGGTTGGGGACAATCGGGTGGGTCCAGAGATGGTTGGGGACAGTCGGGTGCCCCCAGCCCACGCCCCCCAGCCCTCCGTCACCCCCACCTTGGGCGTGAGGACGATGGCGGAGCCGCCGTTGATGCCGATGATGGGCACGGAGGTTTGGGCGGAGATGAAGTCGAGGATCTGAGCCACGGCCTCGGAGCGGGTGTCGTCCTCGAAGACGACGCCGTGGATGCGGAGGGAGGAGAGGACGTCGCACAGGCGGACGATCAAGCTACGGGGGTTGGTGTCGTTCAACACCACCCCCACCGGGTTGATTTCCAAGGAGAAGTTGCGGAAGGCGGCGGGGGCCAGGCGGGGCCCGGCGGGGCCGTAGGAGGCTCCGCTCAAGATCACGGCCACGTTCAGCGTCCGCCGGTTCCCCTCCGGCCGCGGCTCCAGGAAGGGGCTGGGGCAGGCCAAGGCCAGGGCGAAGAGCATCCTGCTGGCGGGGGGGGGGGGCCCGGGGGTGCTCATCGCGCCGCCGCTGCGCCCTGGGGGAGGGGGAAGGGGGGGGCTGGTGGGAGAGGTGCCTACCAGTGCCCACCAGTGCTCACCAGTAACCCTTCCTGCAGTGGGAGAGGGTTAGGTGGAGGGAGGATGGTGGGACCAGAACCCCCCAGAACACACCCGCCCATCAGGAGAGGGTCAGGCGGGGGCGGAATGGTGGGAGAGGTGCCCACCAGTGCCTCCCAGTAACCCCCAGTAACACCCCAGCACCAGGAGAGGACCAGGTGGGGGGGAATGGTGGGAGCAGTGCAGCCCAGTGCCTCCCAGTAACCCTCAGTAACACCCCAGCACCAGGAGAGGGTCAGGAGCGGGGGGAACTGGTGGGAGCGGTGCCCCCCAGTGCCCACCAGCATCCCCCAGTAACACCCCAGCACCAGGAGGGGGTCAGACAGGACTGGAGGGACCAGTGCCCCCCAGTGCCCCCAGCAGCCCCCTGCACTGGGAGAGGGTCAGGCAGAGGGGGACTGGTGGGACCAGTGCACCCCAGTATCCCCCAGTAACCCCCCTGCACCATGAGTAGGTCAGGCAAGGGGGAACTGGTGTGACTGGTACCCCCCCAGTGCTCCCAGTACCCACCAGTACTGCCCCACTGTGCTGAGGAGACAGCATTGGGCCTGGCCTGGGGCAACCAGTGCCTCCCAGTATCCTCCCAGTTCCCCCTGCCCTGCAGTGAGGCAGCGTCCGGCTGTCAGGACACGGCAGGACTTGGGGACACGCTCTGACACACCAGGACGCTGTCACACGTCATCACACGCCAGCACACGTGTCCGTCCCCCCCCCCGGGGGGGTGACACGAGACAGACAGACGGACACCACCAGGGACAGGTGGACACTGGGGGGGGGGGGAACGGCACCGCCCCACCCCCCGGGCAACGACGCA